TCTTTTGTAAAAGGAAGTGGCAATCAATATGACACACTTCATTGTTGTTTTAAGAAATAGCCACAGCCACCCTAACTTTTAGCAACCACTCAGATCAGTGTGCAGCTATCAGCATGAAGGCAGTACCCTCCACCAGCAAAAATCTTATGAGTTGCTGAAGGCTCCGATGATTTTTAGCATATAAATATATGTATTCACATATATAAATATAAATATTTTGATACTGGGGTTTGAAGCTAGGGCCTTCCCATTGAGCTACACATTCCCAGCATTATTTATCTTTTATTTTGAGACAGGATCTCTCTGAGTTGCCCAGCTGGGCTAAACATGGGATTCTCCTGCCTCAGCCTCCCAGAGTGCTGGGATTATAGATGTGCACCACCATGCTAGGTTTGTACAATTTTTTTTTTTTTTTTGGTACCAGGGATCGAACTCAGGTCCTTGCACTTGCACAGCAGGGGGCGAAACCACTGAGCTAAATCCCCGGCCCCTGTACAATGTTTTTTTAGACATAATGCTATGACACACTTAATAGGCTATAAATAATGTCAATATGCACTGGGAAAACAAAAAAGTTAGTGTGACTTGGTTTATTGCAGTAGGAACCAAATTCACAGTATCTTTGAGATGTCCTTATATATTTTTTGTTGTTGTAAAAATTAGGAAACAATGTGTTAAACTTGTTTTTAAATGTTAGAAGTGTTAATATATCAAAATACACTATGAAAATACACTATGACTTTCTCAGAAGGGAGTGTAATTTGAGATTTCTCCCAAACTTGCTTGAGTACAGAATCATTCCTTTAGAACTTCTTAGGGATCTAGTATTCCTTGGAATACATTTTGATAAAACCATCCTAGGTGGTGAGGTGAGCTGTTGTGGTTTATATTTAGATGTTCCCCTAACATCTTATGTGCTCATAAGTGGAGCTTTGGGAAGGTGACTGGATCATGGGGTTGTGATATTCACCAGTGTGGATTAGTCCCCTGGTGAGTTTATAGCTAAATGTGATGTTGGGAGGTAAAGCCTGGTGGGGGAGGTGGGTCACTGGGGGTGTGGCCTGGAAGGGTCTCTCTCTATCCTACCTTGAGGTCTCTCTGCTTCCCACCACCATTCCATGACTTATTTCTTTTCTGCCATGCTCCCCAGCCATGCTGTCCTGCTTTGGAGCCAGCCAACTATGGGCTGAAACCTCTATAGACTATGAGCAAAAATAAGCCTGTCCTTCTTAGAACTGTGGGTATCAGGTACCCTGTCTCAGTGATGAGAAAGTAACAAAAACATGAGCTAACAAGCAGAATACGATAAACACCATTAAAATTGATTTAGATAAAGGAACAATCACTTAACACTGGAAGGAATTGGGGGATGTTTCAGGAAGAAAGCATTTGAGCGGGCTATGAAGGGTGAGAAGAATTTTGACAGGAAGGCTTGGTAAGTAGGAGTTTTTTAGGTGGAAGAAGAGGCCTAGTTAAGAACACAGAAATGAGAAAAGCATACACTTTTCAATAGCGAAGTGTCTTTTAATACATCCACAAGAGGATCTTCTTGGGCTCAACCAGATATTAACCAGCTGCCCACAGACCATATTGGTTCTAGTCTACTTAGAAGGATGTAGGACAGAAGGATGTAGGGCAGTGTAGGGACAGGTGTCTGTAAACAACAACAAAAAAATAAAATAGAGGCCTCCTTAGATTTGCTAGCTAATTCTGACTAGAAGGAGCTAAAAACAAACTTTACTAGAGAGATTCCCCTGGGAAGCAAGTGAAGGACAGGAGTAGAAAAAGAAAAAAACAAACCAACTAGATAAAGAAAGGCACCAAATGGCCTTGCACCAAGAGACCAGAAAAACTGCTGCCAGGCAGGACACACAGAGAAAGCCAGGGGCACAAATGATAAGCTGCCTCACCTCCGATAAAATATAGGGGAAGCAAATTGGGGAGGCTGACTAACTTTAAGGCAGTGTCTACTCACCTATGCACTGACACATACACTTACACACATGTGTATTCACTCCAGAGTCACTATATTATTCACTCCAGGGTCATTACAGAGTACAGCAATATGCACATGCACCATTATTAGGCAGAGATGCCCAGAAGCCCATCCAGTTATGCCAAATTTCAGGTGGAGGGGAAAGAGTCACTCACTCTCCCTGTAAAAACAGCTAAGAACAAAGGGCTCACAAGTCCACCATCTTTCCAGAGTCCCCTATCCTGATTATTTTTTATCAGGGTAGCTATCTACTCCTTTCTCCCTCATTTTCCCTGTTTACAAATAAAGTGTCTTCCTTTCATTAAACTTTGTCCCTCTAATTTATTATTGAGGCTGAGTTAGGATCCCAGTGGGCTGCTGGACAACAGAGCAGCGATGCTCGTCCCCCAGATGCAACAGCAGGTAGCATCAAGCTTTCTGCTTTAGAGCAATAGTGGTGGCAACAGACTGCATCAGTTTACACAGCTGTTTATACAGTTGTCCAGCATCCATTTTCTTCCCTCCAAGTGACATCTCAGGTGTAAGGAAAGCAACTCTTGCTGAGCAGGTAGCATAGTTTCTCAGGCTTACAAATTCTTATGTCTCAGTGGCACCAATATCTCGTTAAAACTCCATGGGCAAATTAGTGTCCCCATCGAGCACTTGTAAGAGTCAGTGTGTTCAAATCCAAAGTATGGTTTATCTCCATACATTTATAACTTCTCTCCATCCAGATATAATTTACCAGTCAAATATCATTTTAACCCTGAGCAATGCTATCTATCTGTGTAATGTAGTTGATCTAATATGTTTATTAGAATTCCAAGGTGAGAGGACTGGAATGTCAACCAAAAGTGAGATTCTTAGTCATGAGCTGTGCCCTTTACCTTCAGTTTTCATATATTAAACTAGCAAAGACAAAGGAGGCTAATTATGTGGGATCCTGGATTCCAAACTAAAGAGTTTGAATTTATGTAGCTTCGAAATTTTCTGCTCACTATTTATTCTGGATTCAGAATGCATTTCTAATGGAACATATTCTTTTTTATTAGTATATGTTTGCAATACATAATGATAACATTCATCGTGGGAAGTTGGTACATGAACATTACATGTCTCGATTCTTTTTACCTCCCTTTTCCCTCCTCTCCCTCTCCCTCCTTCCACCTCTTGGTTCACTTCTCATTTGCAAAAGATCTATTTCTCTGTTTCCAATTATCTATCTTTTACTTTGAACTTTAATTTATTCATATTTTGGGTTTCTCATATAAAAGAAGTCATGCCATTTTTAAGCTTATGTGTCTGATTTATTTCATTTAACATTACGGTCTCCAGGTGTATCCATTTTCCTCAGATGACTTAAATTTATCTTTCTTTGTAGCAGAATAGTACTCTATTGTGTGTGTGTGTGTGTGTGTGTGTGTGTGTATATTACATTATGTTTATCCATCCATTGATGGACATGTAGTTGCTTCCCAGATTAAGCTATTATGAATCATGCTGCTATAAACATAGATATGCCTGTATACTATAATAGGATGTCTCTAACTCTTTTGAGAAGATTCCTAGAAGGAGAATAGCTGAATAAATGGAATTTCTATTTTAAGCTTTTTGAAGAATCTCCATACTGATTTCCATAGTTGTTGTACTAGTTTACATTCCCACCAACAGTGTAGAAGGATTCCTTTTTCCCCCGCAGCCTCACCAGCATTTGTTATTATTTGATTTCTCGATGATGGCCATTCTTTCTGGAGTAAGATGGAATCTCAGTGTTGTTTTAATTTGCATTTCTCTAATGGCCAGTGATGTTGAACATTTTTTCAGGTATTATTACCTTAAACAAAGCACATGAAAAGATATATTTTGGTGTAAAAATATTACAACACTTGAATAAATTTCAGGGTTAGTATATCTTAGTAGAACCATTGAGAAGTTTTAATACAGACACAAATAAAGCCATCTTCTGAATAGAAAGCATCTGAAATAGAAAGGATTGTGCTCTTTCAACTCATAGAAGGCTGAATCTTGTATAGCACACATAAGAAATAAATATCTAGTGCTTACAATGGTGACCTTTTGTTTTGTTCCATTAATGCATGTTCCAATATCCTAGTGAAATAATGGCCACGATTTTACAGATTATATGTCCAAATAAGAAAGCCAACAGGTTTTACCCTGAAGATCTTTGAAACAGTTGCTTCCCAAAAGGCAGAACACTACAGGTGAAGAATTTTTTTTTCTGTATTGAATATAACTTTCATGTATTATGAAAACTCATGCAGCTTGGATGCAACTTGCTGAAGCAATAACCACTTGTTCAGTGGACTTATCAATACCATCACCAGTCTCCCACATCTCAGGACTCAGTGCCTGCATGAGAGCCTGTGACTCAGTAGCTATGCAACCTGGAGTGTCCTGTAGCAGGAACCTTTGCTTCATGGCTTTGCTGTTCCCTCAAATTACTACACAATTTACCTAACAAGTCTCTCTCCGAGACCTGGAGGTCCATCACAAGGAGACTTATTATCTTCTTCCCATGATGACAAGTAGCCAATGTGGCAAACTGACATTTAATGTGTGACAGTGGATGCAAAGCTGCTTTCCCTCCACCCAGGGAACATGTTCAAGCCAGAAATGTGGCTTAAAGACACTGTCAAGTGCTATGCTCTTCCACCCCACCACACCATATCAAGTGGGATACACCAAGCAACTTCTATGACACATCTAATGTATGAATCTATGAGCCTTTGCCTATGAGGAGTCCCAGCCTGAGAAGAGGGCACAATCCAGACAAGCCAGCAGGATACTTCTGAACTGGCTCCTGTCTCCTTAAATAATAAAGGCAGGAATCTGCCTCCTCCGTTTCTATTTAGTCCAGCACATAGCAAAAATCTCTGTGCCTTTGCTGATGTATTTCAATTAGTTATGCTAAGTTCCCCTTACAATGAGAAGGACTCACAGTATCCAGTCTAGGGTAGGATGCTTTTCATGTTGTGAATTGACAATAGAGGCACACAGTCAGGAATCCAAGAAAATAAATTTATTAAACTTTGAAGGAATACATCCACAGACATAAGGAAAGTTAAATATAGATTGCAGGACACAACTAGTCATACTAAGGAATAATGGCTTGTGTGGCCAGCAAAGTACCAAAATGACATTCTGAAACTCATTGAGGTATTTAACTATTTTTTGGCTATAGAAATGTGATCAGCCTATTGTGAAATAAGATAGTTCTTTCAAACACACAGCTTTAAATTGAATTAGGTTCTACACTAATGATATTTTATGTGAAACTAAATGATGTACCTCCTGGAGAAAACCATAGCAGCAAGGTAGCAGACAATCAATTAAATGATTACAAAGTCACATGTTGAACTTTAAACACCCAATTCTAGAATTTCACTGTTGTTTCTGCAAGAAAGAGGGAATTAAAATTACCAATCACTAAGCTTGCTTCTTCCAAAGGTCTGAGCTAAATGTGAAATACTATTTATCTTAAAACTAACTTTAAATTTTTAAATTTTTTAAAAATACTGAAAATGAGACATTCTTCAGTAAGATGAAATTATTCACTCATAAACCTTTTAGGGAGCTATACTAATGAATGATGTTGAGGTTATGAAGGAATTGAAAAAATAATTAATATACTACTTAGAGCTTTGTTGTGTTTTTTAATTTACTTTTATTTCTACTTGGTTCGAGTCTAGTCCTTTTGAGAGGAAATAAAAAATAATGAAAGTTCTTATTTTTCTTTTTGAAATAAGTCCTATAAAAGGTTTAATGAAAAAGTTTCTGCTGTTGATCTAATTACTTTTGAGTTATCGTTTGGGCTAGAAAACCATGCTTCTTCTGTCCCATTACCATGAGTAACAAGTATGTGTCTGGTTACAGGCTGTGAAACAGAGACCTGTTTTTTGAGCTTTCTGTTCCATACCCAGTTAACTTCATTCAGTCTGCTTCGATGTACAAAATGATTCTTGTCCTTTCTTCTCTTCTTAGCTAACTATGATATAAAACCGAGCTGTGTTTGAAGAGACGCTACCGCGGAAGTGGTGGAGCTTCTTTCACGTGATCTGCGTGCTTCCCCAGCCCCTCCCTGTGCACCACAGTTCTCCGGGCTCCCAGCCTCCCCTTGGAGCCATCCTACCCTCTACTTCTCTTAGCGTGTAGCTCTGGGACTTGAACTGAAATTCGCTGTAGAAAGGGAGTTTCCCCCCTGTATTTTTGGTTTATGCAGTGTAAACATTTTAATAACGTTTTCTAAATTAAAAAATATTTGTCTAAAAATTCAGATACAGTGACTGTGTCCCAATAATGCAGGTTACTAGATTTTTAGGATTATTTAAGTTTTGGGAGATATAAAAAGGACCTTGTAAAAAAACTAATTTGTTTGCTTTTTTTTTTTTTAGGTACACTGAACACAGCATTAAACCAATGTTACACTGTAGTCACTACATTTTTTTTTTTTTTTGGATAGGTCATCTTGAACTACAGTACACAGTGTGTAGTGTATTATAAAATAGCCATGCTTGAAGTCTAAATTATTAAAAATATCTTTATCAATTTTATGTCAAAATAAATGTTTTATATATCCAAACTATTTTTGCCTTCTTACCTAAAGTTTTACTTCCCAGTTAATTAAAAGAAAAAAAAATTAGCCTGTGCTATGACTTGCATTCAATTTCCTGAACTGCAAAAGCAACCTGACTTTATTTTGCTTTTTCAAAACGCTTGATTTACTGTACATTAAAGGTGTAGCCATTCAACGCTCAGTATCACAAAATTAACACCACCATAATAAGACAATTACTGCCACTAAACAGACTTTGAGGCAATTTAAAATATTTACAATTCACAAGGAATATATATCTGATTAAGCATTCTTATTTTTTCATTTTAATATCATGTTTCAACATTTCAGGAAAAGGCATTTAGAATCTATACCCACCCTCACACTCTCCCAAGAAAACATGTTTTGGTTTAAGCATTCATGCCCTAGCCAATTTTTATGATGAAATATGTCACTTCTGGGAAACCGAAGAAGGGCTACGGCATGATTTTGTTCAGTTGGTCTGTGCTCACATAGCCACACGATGAGAGAAATTCTTTGTCAGGCAAAGGCAAGGACAATGCAGCCGCGTTGAGTATGAGGCCCTGTGGAGACTGCACTATATGAATGGAGGTATAATCTGGGAGAGCCATTTCAGAGCTTGGAGGCTGTTCTGCATCCCCAGACTTCTCAGCAGCAGTGGTAAGGCTTTCTGTGGTGATGTAAGTATCCTCCTGGTTAAAGCTTGGTTCTACATGTGACTTGACCTCGATGTGAGGGGTCATGACAACGCACTTTTTGGCATCTCCCTTGAAGAAGTTGGCATTATCTTTGATGAAGTTTGCCTCAGGATGTGTATCACAGTGGGACATTCCTGCCTTATTCTTTTGGCCTGGGGAAAGGACTACACTTCCTGCTGGTGTAATGTCGCTTACCTGGGCATAAAAGTCCATGTTTGCCAGTGAACTAGGATTGCTTATCTGAGAAGGGGCATCTTGGTTAGTTGACTCAGTTTTACCAATAAGAAGTAGTTGTGGTTTGTCTTCCTCTGTTGGAATAACACTGGCCTGCTGAGGGTCAGGAGAAGCATCATAAGGTGAATTATTTTGATTCTTCTCATCAAGGCACAAGAAATCAGCTTCCCCTTTTAGCTTGTCTGGCCGAACAACCTCAGAGGTGCCAACACACACATCACTGGCATTGAAATCAGTCTCCAGAATATCAGGTTCATAGCAGCTAGTACGTCCAGAGTCATCATCCTTTGCTCCAAGGATATTAAGTGATTTTTGATGGTCACTGCTGAGAAGTCTGTCTGTGTCTGAACCTTCAGTCTTTTCATCAGGGTCATCAAAATCTAGCTCAATAAATTCAACCCAAGAGTCATCGTTGTAGAACTGAGGTTTAGAGTTATCATGAATGGCTAAGATTGTGTTCACCTCCTCTAATTTTCCTTCCTAGGAAGCAGAAAAAAATGAAGATCTATGAAAAGATCCTCATGATGATTAAGTAATTTTAAATCTGATGCACATAGTTTGCAAAACACTCTCCACATATGACATTATTCTTTAGATATGACTTAATTAGTGCTATGTACAATTTATATAGGTTTGTTAATTACCTTGAGGAGATCTGGATCAACTCCTTTAATCTTTGGAACTGGAACTGGGGGCAAAATCAGCATCTTAATCCTTGAAAACAAATAGAATTTTGGTATGACATATCTTAAAATTTACATGTTCTCTTCTTTATAAAGATAGAAATAAAATATTAGCAGTGCTATAAATTATTCCAAATATTCTGGTATTTTATATAAGTGGAATATGAGGCAGGAAAGGAAAATACTAAGCAGTAATAAAGAAAAACTGTAGAAAAAAGAAAAACAATAGCAACAAAAAACTCTCATTTGAAGTCCATTTACATAAGATGTGGTTTTCTTACATTTTTTTCTTAATGCTTTTTATTGTCAACCAATTTTAGTATTTGAGAGTGTGCAATGTAATTCCATATGAAGCTAATTTCCTTGTCAGTTATAAGAAGGCAATTTTAGTGCATATCTCGCTAGTAATTTTCAGAGAAGAAAGGAAGGATGGAAGGTAGAAAGAAAGAGGGAAAGAGAGAGAGAAAGAAAGAAAGAAAGGCAGTCTAAATAGAACCAAAGTTATTTATGCATTTGAAAGAGGGTGGGCAGAGATAAGTTACACAACACAGTTCACAGTAATTATAAATTCATTCAAAAGGATCTCTAACCAGAATGTTACTACAGGACTCCTTTTCAGGTATGACAAAATCTGAGAAACTATCTCTAACTGACTAGGATGGATTTTTACAGACAATTCTGTGATGCACTTACATTTTCCATTCTGAACATTAAAATAATTTTTTGATACTAATTTATCTATCCTGCCTGTCTTGTGCCTTGTTGAATCCCTAGCATTTATCTCAATTCCTGGCCCAAAGAAGGTGTTCAGTAAGCATTCCTTAAAGAAATTTGAATAAATCATTTACCCGTTTAGTTAATGTTGTAGCTGGAGTTTATAACTGAAAACCAGCATTATAGCACTGGAGAAAAGCTCAGAGATTATCATTCCAAACAACTTACTTTATGGTTAAAAAAGTCCCCCAAGTAATCAGAAATGTCATTGTTGGGCAACGATAGTAATCTGGTTTTTCTATACATAGTGTGAATGGACTGTCTAGACTATTCAGTAAGGAACCTTTTCTGTCAATATTTCTACCTGCCATTTTACTTAATGTAAGGAATAAGCCAAATTTAATTTTACAATTTGTTTTGAGTGGCCACCACCAGTATGCTTACTTAGTGGGGTAAGTGTTAAAAACAAATTGTTACTGATGAGTAGCATATACAGAGATGAATAATATAAATTACTTGCCATTTTGATTGCCTCTGATATACTACATATACTTTGAGATTTACTTTGCACAAGAGTACAGGTTGGCAAATTATAGCCTGTGGCCCAACTCTGGCTTGCCACTCGATTCATATAGAAAAATGTTTTTGGAACACAACCATGTTCATTTATTTATAAATGGTCTTTGGCTCATTTCATGTCAGAGCTGTGAAATGGAGTAGTTGTGGCAGAGATGTAACCCCTCTAACACCTAAAAGTTTACTGTCTTACTGTTTATAGACACGTTTGTTGACTGCTGCACCAGATATTTTCTTTAGTCCTTAGAACAACCAAAGAAGCAGATTGTCTATGCAAAAACTTAGAAAATTAAGGAATATGTTCAGATCATTCACTAATACTTGGCACAGCTGAGACTCAATCCCAGAGTACCTGACTTAAAACCCAGGCTCTTTGTCCTCTATCATGTTGCTGTGTTTTTGGTTCTGCATCTCTAAATGAATATTTCAAATTTTAAAAAATGGAAAAAAAAAGTAACATAGCACTAATTATAGGAAGCAAATATTACTAAACGGCTAATGTTTGATATTGTGCTTCTCTGTCGCTCTGTCTCTGTCTCTGAGTCTCTCTCTGGAAGGGGATGATGCACTCAGCATGTGTTAAAAGTTGTGACATTAAACCACAGGGTCAGACCCTGAAACCACAAGGGCTCATGTTGGTTATGCACATGAATAAAAGAAGCCCCCTAAAGTGCTCTGTGGAGGAATGACAGTGGTGTCAAACTGGAGTGTGTATGGCTTCCCAAATGGGACAGCTGGTTCTCTGCTGCTGCACACATGCCATGCAAAAAAAAAAAAAAAAAAAAAATCAGCCTTGTTTGACTCCATCATTCGGTTTTTAAGGATGGTCCAGAAATCTGGATTTTTGTATGATGATTCTTTATTTTGTAAACACTTTGTAACACAATTTTTTTACTCCAAAATAAAACAAATAACAAAACATGGATTTGCAGTCTGAATTTGGGTTTCAGTTTCCCACTTCTGTTTTATGCTGACTCAATTATTTCTTTCCTTAATTAATAATAGATTGAAGCCTCAGTGGGTCATATGCTGGAAACTATTGCAAAGTAAAGATAGCATGTTTGAGACTATGATGTTGCTATTCTTTTATTCAAATACAAATTGCATTATAAGTCATGTGAGAGATGACTCTTACCTGGATTAAGATAGGGTAAAGCAGCTTAGATAATGAATTGTGACTCACAAAAGTTCAAAGATATATAGGACCTGTAACCTTAAGAGATCTGGCTTTCTGGGGAAGATAGATATAAGGACCGGATTCTTTGGAGTATGATTTTGTTGGAACTACATGTGATTTCTATACCTACTGACGACTATTTTCTACCATTTCTTATTTTCATTAGAATATGAAAATTTATTTTTTAATTTTTGTTTTATTAGTGCATTTGCAGTACATGAAATTTGCATTCTTCTTGTGCAGTATGTACATGTAGATAACACAGCTTGTGCATTTTTCAGTCCCCTCCCCCTTCCCACTCACCTCCCTCCCTTTGCTTCTAAATCCCCTTTGCCCATTTTCATTCTTGTTGTCAGTATTATTCTTAGCTCATGTTTATGACATGTAATGTTTACATTCATTTCGGATATTTGGTACCTGTACATAGCAGGTCTTAAATCTGACTTCCCCTTTTCTTCCCCTCTCTTTACCCTCAGTCTTCTGGACCCCTCACATTTGCAAAAGATTTATTTCATTTTTTACTTTCATCCATTCTTTATTTTGATCTTTGTTCAGTTTGCCTTGATCAAATAAGAGATAGCATACAGTATTTAAGTTTGTGTGTCTGATTTATTTCACTCAAAATTACATTTTCCAGTGCATACATTTCCTATGAAGGTTTCAAATCTGTCCTTCTTTATAGTTAACTAGTATTCAGTTATGTACAGATATTACTTTTTTATCCATTCATCTGTTGATGGGCATAGAGGCTGCTTTCAGGATTTAGCTATTATGAATTGTGCTGCTATAAACATTGCTATGCATGTATCATTGTAGCGTGTTATCTTAGCTCATTTGGGAAGATACCTAGAAGAACAACAGCTGGGTAAAATGGAATTTCTAATTTTAGTTCTTTGAGAAATCTCCATACTGATTCACATAATGGTTGTACTAGTTTACATTCTCACCAATTAGGAGAGCTCCTTTTTCACTACAGTCATGCCAGTATTTAATGTTTGACTTGATTGCCATTCTTATTGGTGTGAGATGAAATCTTAGCATTGTTTTAATTTGCATTTCTCTAATGGGTGGAGATGTTGAACATTTTTTTTCATATCTTTGTTGGCCACTTATACTTCTAAGATGTGTCTGTTCATTTCACTTGCTCATTTCTTGATTGGGTATTTTATTTTGGGTGATCTAATTTTTTTGAGTGCTTGATATATTCTAGAAATTAGTCCTCTGTCCAAGGAATAGCTGGGATTTTTTCCCCCAATCTGTGGATTGCCTCTTCACTCTATTAATTGATTCTTTTGCTGTGGGGAGGCTTTTTAATTTGATATAATCCTATTTGTTGATTCTTGCTGTTTTTTCTTGAACAACTGGAGTTTTGTTCAGAAAGCTCTTTCCTATACCTATGACTTCAAGTGTTTTACCTATAGTATCTTCCAATAGGTTCAAAGTTTCTGTTTTAATGTTCAGATCTTTGATCCATTTTGATTTTAGTTTAGGACATGGTGAGATATATGGGTCCAGCTTCAAGCTTCTGCAAAAGCCAATTTTCCCAGCACCATTCATTAAATAGGCTATCTTTCCTCCGGTATATGTTTTTGACTCCTCTGTTGAAGATCAAATAGCTGAATGTGTCTGGGGATGTTTCTGTATCCTTTATCCTGTTCTACTGATTCACATGTCTGTTTTTGTGCTAGCACCATGCCATTTTATCACAGTTGTTTTGTACTATAGCTTAAAGTCAGATATTGTGATGCCTCCAGTTTTGCTCTCATTGTCCAAGATTGCTTTTGGTATTCTGGGTCTCTTCTGGTTCCATATGAATTTTAGGATTGGTATTTTCTAGTTCTGTGAAGAATGTTGTTGTACTTTGATTGGGATTGGATTAAATCTGTATAAAAGTTTTGAGAGTATGGCCATTCTGACAATATTGGTTCTGCCTATCCAGAACCAGGGGACATCTTTCCATTTTCTTTCTGTTGTTTTTTTTTTTGTTGTTGTTGTTGTTTTTGGTACCAGGGATCAAACTCAGGACTTTGCGCTTGCAAGCCAGGTGCAGACATCTTTCCATTTTCTGATGTCCTTTTCAATCTCCTTTTTCAGGGGACTGTAATTTTCATTGTAGAGATCTTTCACTTCCTTAGTTAGATTAATTCCTAAGTATTTAATTTTTCTTGACGCTATTGTGAATGGTATTGTTTTCCTAATTTCTTTCTCAGTGAGTTCATTATTAGTATGTAGGAATGTTACTGACTTTTTTATGTTTATTTTGTATCATGCTACATTGCTGAATTTGGTGGTTAATTTTAGGAGTTTTTTGGTGGAATTCTTTATGTACAATATCATGTCATCTACAACTAATGATTATTTGACTTCTTCCTTTTCTACCTGTATCCTTTTATTTCTCTCTCTTGCATGATTGCTCTGGATAATGTTTTGAATACTATGTTGAATAAAAGTGGCGATAGTGGGAATCTATTCCTTGTTCCTGACTTTAGAGGGAATGTTTTCAGGTTTTTCCCATTTAATATGATGTCAGCCTTTGGTTTGCCATAAATAGCATTTATCCAATTCATGTTTGGTCCTCTATACCTATTTTTTTTCAGGATAGAACATACAAATCTAAACAATGATGAGGGTTTTATGGCAAAATTTTAAAAAAATGATTCTTTCCTACAAAGAGCTCAATTTAGATAGGAAATTGGATGTACAATAAAGACTTTATACTAATTTTATAATTTGTGGATTGTGACTTTTAGTTTAGTTTAATTACTCATGAAAAATATTGTTTTAGAGAAAAGTTAATGTACTCTTTGAAATCCTATTTATTAAGAGGATTTTTGTTGTTTCAGATATTGTCAACAAACATAGGTAAACAGTGTAACACATTGGCCTTCATGGTAACTCCAAATTGACCTCAAGTATGAACAAATAACATTGCATATGTAATGGGTTTATTTACTACAATTGCATATGCGTTCACCTATCAACACAAACAGAAATATTTCTCGAGAATTACGTGCAAAATGAAATTGTGTGGAGTGAATTTTGCTTTCCTACTGGTTTATATTATAAAATTAAACATGAAACCCTTCTGAAAATAACTCATTCTGCATTCAGAAGACTTTTAGCATGCTTGACACTCTAGAAGGGTTAGCATTATAGGCTGGCTTGCTTGCTCTTTCCTTCTTTCTTTCTTTCTTTCTTTCTTTCTTTCTTTCTTTCTTTCTTTC